AAAGGGTCTATTCATGATCACAATAAAACTATAAAATATCTAGAATAAAATCTTTTAAGTATTACAAATCTCCATAAAATGATAAACTGCTACTGAGAGACATTTAAAAAACTGAATGATTCCAGAGACAGTATATTAATGACTAATGTCCATTTACTTCTTAAGCTAATCTGTAAATTTAATACAATCTAAATAAAAATTCCACCTGAGGTTTTTATAAAATGTGAGGTCTAATTTCACCTGAGAAGGGATGTCCCTGGTGGTCCAGTGGTTAAGACTCTGCATGCCCCATGCAGGGGGCCCGGGTTTGATTCCTGGTTATGAAACTAGATCCTCATGCCACAACTAAGACCCAGCACAGCTAAATAAATATATAAATAAATATTTTAAAATAAATGTCACCTGAGGAGAAAATGAGGCATAGCAGCCCCACCATAAAGACAAGAGCACCTTGATAGAAAACATTTAACACATATTAATATCTTAATATGAGAATAGCTTCTAAAAACCAGTAAGTACCTCATAGAAATTAAAGAGCCTCTTGATGAAGGTGAAAGAGTAGAGTGAAAAAGTCAGCTTAAAACTCAGTATTAAAAAAACTAAGATCATGGCATCTGGTCCCATTACTTCTGACAAATAGAAGGGGAAAAGGTGGAAGTAGTGACCAATTTCCTCTTCTTGGGCTTTAAAATCACTGCGGATAGTGACTGCAGCTGTGAAATTAGAAGACAATTGCTTCTTGGCAGGAAAGCTATGACAAACCTATACAGGATGTTAAAAAGCAAAGACATCACTTTGCCGACAAAGGTCCATACAGGCAAGCCTATGGATTTGCCACTAGTCATGAACAGATGTGAGAGTTGGACTAGAAAGGCGGCTGAGCGCCAAGGAATTGATGCTTTTGAACTGTGGTGCTGGAGAAGACTCTTGAGAGTCCCTTGGACAGCTCGGAGATCAAACCAGCCAATCTTAAAGGAAATTAACCTTGAATACTTGTTGAAAGGACAGATGCTGAAGCTGAATCTCCAATTCTTTGGCCACGGATGCAAAGAGCTGACTCACTGGAAAAGGTCCTGATGCTGGGGAAGATTTGAAGGCAGGAGAAGAGGGCAACAGAGGATGAGATGGTTGAATGACATCACTGATTCAATGGACATGAACTTGGGCAAACTCTGGGAGATGGTGAGGGACAGGCAAACCTGGCATGCTTCAGTCCACAGGGGTCAGAGTCAGACACGACTTGGCGACTGAACAGCAGTAACAACCTCACAGAAGTGGATAAAATGTACACGTGGGCAGGCACTTTACAGGAAAAAAATGACCAATACATCTTTAAAAAGAGTCTTACCTTCACTATTAATTATGGAAATGCAAATTCAGATAAGAATGAGATGATTTTGTGTTTTTTTTTTACCCATTAGGCTAGACAAATTAAAAAAGATTAACTATCCAGTGTTAGTCAAGTTATGGCAAAATATTCATGGTAAGGATGGAAATTGGGGCAGTTGTAGAAAGCAGTTTGACTATATCTATAGGAATTTATGTTTAAAATATTTTTTGAGCTCTGAAACCATTTTTCACAAGCAAAACCATTTCTTGAATGAGCTCTAGCTCAGGAAAAAGTAGATCACAGCTGTTTGGTTGGAGTGGAGGTGGGGACCCTGCTCCAAGCTCCCCCTCATTCTGTGTCCCTCCCCACTCCCCACAATACCTCCACATAAATCAGAACCTCGTGGACTTAGACTCCAACTCCCAGCCCAGGGCAGTGTCTAACATATATCTTTAGTACGTCAAGGACCGAAATGAAAATGCATTGTAGAATTTTATTACAGTATGGGACTGCTCAGTGGAGTGAATCAGCCTCAGATAATCAAATCTCTCCCTAGAATACCAAGAGTATTACTCCCAGACTTATCTCATCACTGTGTTTGGAACAAGCAAAGCTGACATGGAGTATGAGAAGTTTTTTGAAACAAAGAAAAAGTCCATCAAAACAAGGTTGACAAAGCAGCTGCTAGGCATGGTGCTTAATCAAGGAAAAAATAAATAAAGCAGACCAAGCAAGAAACACCTGGATCAGAAATATTGGAACAAGCTACACAAACAAGATCGAAGAAGTCTGAAAATATGTTGGATGGGAATGGAAAAAGTAAAATCGTTGAAGCGTTTTATTTGCAATTTGTAAAGACAATTTTAAATTTATTAAAAAAAAAACTTTCTATCAATCCAACAAAAGATGCTTGGGTGCTAGGACTGTGTGAAGATTCATTTTGTGATATAGAGCCTTGAATCTTCTGAAGCCCTTCTCAAAGAGTACTTCCTATTTACAATATTATAGTAGGTTGTTTTACAAAGCTCACGAAGGGGTCTTCTGCTAGGCTCTCAGTCTTTGAATTCAGCCCCAGATGACCACAAGGGAATTGCCTGCATCTAGTGTGAGGCTTCCCAGGTGGCGCTAGCAGTAAAGAACCCACCTGCCAATGCAGGATATATAAGAGATGCAGGTTCAATCTCTGGGTAGGGAAGATCCCCTGGAGGAGGTCACGGTAACCCACTCCAGTACTCTTGCCTGGAGAATCCCATGGACAGAGGAGCCTCTTGGGCTACAGTCCATAGGGCTGGATATGATGGGAGCAACTTAGCACAGCACACAGTATGAGGCTGAGTCAGGTAGGAGGGAAGAGAGGGGGCAGAAGCAGGCCAGTTCTCCCCAGAGTATTTTCTAGAACAGGCCAACACAATGATCAGTGAGCACTTCTCCCCTAAGAAGGGAACCATAAAATTCTGAGGTGTGGGTGCTGAAAGAATAGCTGTCATGAATCCTAACCGCCTCAGTTCTCACCTTTTCCTCTCCAGAGAAGGATGCGGGCCTGCCAACCACACCACTTCACCCCTTACCAGTGCACACACGTCTGGGATGATATCTGCCCATGGCGCACCCCTGGGGATGACTCAGCTATCCCCTGCGGGAAGGGCATTCAGAAGGCCCCTCAAAACTGTTTATCCAATGGCCCTTTACTGTGAGCGTTGTTAAATAAGCACGTAAGTGGATTTTGCCCTTAAGAAGCTTGTCATACCTAATAACCCCCAAACGCACTCAAGTAGAGTATCAAAAGGACCCCTTTGCGGAACACAGGTTCATCAATACAACTCAGAAATCTTGAAGAAAGCCCAAGTGAAGGAGAAACAATTAATAGAAGAGCGCTTTCTTTTTAAGCTCCCTGGATCTACATGATTCTCACCTTTGGCTGCATGCTCATGCACCCAGGGGACCATAAAATGTCCTGTTGCGTGGTCCACCCGAAGGGGTCCTGACATGATGGCTCTGCCCTGAGGGAGGGCTTGGGCACGGGGATATTTACAAGACTCTTGGGAGACTAATGTGCACCAATCAAGATGCCTTTAATGGACAGGCAGAATCCAGAACATCTGGCCCAGAGTGCTAAATACCAAAGGGGCAGTCTGTGAAGTGGCCACCAACTGGGGCGATGAGAAGGTAACTGATGAAATTCACAAGAGCTGTTTCCCTGGAGAAGGAAATGGGGGTGAGGGGTGGGGGCGGGCAATGAGTACAACTTCATTTATGAGTCAAGTTCAAGGGCTTGTTTGTGAAGGCAAGACCTGAGGGGTAGAGGGTGAAGGAGGGTAAACAGGCCAGGAGAGAACTGAAAATTACACTAAAAATAGTTTTGTTGTTTAAGAAGAGAAACCTGGGCTACTAACATACAATGGGGCAAGATCCAGCAGAAAGAGAGTTTGAAAAAAACAGGAGAAGCAACATCCAGTCATCAAAGCCCCATAGAGTCAGGGCAGAGTAGGCTCTGGACTAAAGCACAGAAGTAACCATTTCCTTTTTTAGAAAAAAAAAAAAAAAAACAGGGGAGGGGAACTAACATTTTTTTGAACATTAATTTGATGAATATCACAGGCACTTCATACGTATGAAATGGAATATCTCCTGCATACTGGTGTGCAAGAAATGTCATAGCTATCCATGATTCCAGCCCTCCAAATATGAATTTCTGAGCCATGCTGACAAGCGGCGCCACTCCCTACATGAGGAAATTGAGGAAGTCACAGTCATCAGCGGTTACAGCCCTCGTGGGGCTGGTGGTAAAGAATTCCCCTGCCAGTGCAGGAGACATAAGAGACACAGGTTTGATTCCTGTGTTGCCAAGATTCCCTCCTTCAGGAGGAGAGCATGGCACCCCACTCTAGTACTCTTGCCTGGAGAATTCCATGGACAGAGGAGCCTGGTGGGCTATAGTCCATGGGCTCACAAAGAGTCAGACACAACTGAAGCGACTTAGCACGCCTGCACCCAAGTGTGAGCTGGTGAGCCCCAAGGGAATTCAAGTAAGAGAAGAATACCTCTGCAAAAATGCAGGATGCTGGCCCCAGACAGCTGAGATGCATATGAAAGAAATGACTTTAATAATCCCAGACTCTTGCATCTTCCCATACATAGAAGAGCACTAAATTCCTTAATTTGATATCTGGTTTTCCTTACTTAACAATAATCTTTGATGTTCAGGCTACCGTTCCCTTTGCTGCCAACTTGTATATAGCCTGACTCCCTCTTCTGCCTCCTCAGAGCAGCTTCTCAGGGCTACTGAGATGCCATCCCCTGGGCCCAGTGTCCTAAACATTCCCACCAAATAAAACATTTGCTACTTTCAGGTTGTGACTGATTTTTCAGTTGACACATGCATGATTTCATTTAATCTCACCCCAAAATTTGCAAAGACTCTTGTAACACAGAACGCCCTATGCTTAGAATTCCAGGGTTTTGACTGTTCCTTATTAATACCATTTCCACATCTAATTCCCCAAAAGATCACCATGATCAAAAAGTCTTCTCACAGGTCCAGCATGATTTATTAGAGAGAGAACGCTCTGGAAGAAGTAGAGGCAGTCCAACTTAAAGAAAATGATGGACAAAAGTCTGTCCAGCACATAAAATGCCAACTGGTGTCTGTGCCAACTGTCTCCCGGGGTACCTGAGGGCCATGTTGTGAGCCGCGGTGCCCAGAGCTCTCCTCCCCAGGATGCAGAGCGCGAAGGACAGAGTCACCAGAGGAGAGTCCTCGTCACTTTCTAGGGGCTTCGAGGGCTGGAAGAGCAAAGACGTTCATTCAGCTTTCATGTGGGGTCTGGCATGCACTTACACAGAACCACAAATGCAGAGGTTTTCCACAAGGCAGCCACCATGGTCACCTGGGTCCCCCCACAGTGACCCAAAGGATGGTAAACTCTGCTTTTGAGGCAGTTTCTCTGGAGGTTGGACATAAAAACAAATTTAAATGGGGAAGTTACTTTAGGGAAATAAAGGGGCTAACATGTGGCTTGTCAGCCTAGTTTCCTGGAATTATGAATACGCCGCCTTGGGTCGGGAAGATGGTCAGAGTTCGCAGTCAAATGAAAGTAAAAGTTATTCAGTCATGTCTGACTCTTCGTGACCCCATCCACTGTGGCCCACCAGGCTCCTCTAGGCATGGGGTTCTCCAGGCAAGAATACTGGAGGGTGTGGCCATTCTCTTCTCCAGGGGCTCTTGCTGACCCAGGGATCAAACCCATGTCCCCTGCATTGCAAACAGAGTCTTTACTGTTTGAGCCACCAAATGAATTTGCACCTTAACTTTGCCCAGGGCCCCCCTTAACCCCATCCAATGCCCACCTTAACCCTGTCCAATGCAGGGGGACAGGTACACCAGCAGAAATAGAAGTATAGGAATCAAGTGCAAATGAGGTTTTCTGTTCCCTCTATAATGAGGAGCACACTGAACTGACCATAAGTTCACAATCAATAATCAAATGAAGCGGTTCATCCAAGCTTAAGAGGAGCAGGGGAAGATGCCAAAGGAACTTAAAGTTAAAATATCATTTGCAAGCAAAGCAAGATTATTTCATTTTTATGAGCTAGCTGAGGAAAGAAGAGTGCCCTCATTGTGGGGTTAGCCAGGATCAGCAATAGATTCTTGACTATTTCAGCCACCAGTGGAGGCTCTGCATGGGTTAAGATGTCAGCACACATTCTCCCGGCTGCATCTGGAGGACAGACTCTGCCACCGACTGTCTCCCACCTGCTTTCAATCACTCATGAAAGGTCAAGGACCTGGGCGAGTGTCATAATTTGGTTTAGCAGGTCACACAGCACTCTTCGTCATCTGCTGAGAAGGCAGTTTTCAACTTGGATCTACCATCTCCCTCAACAACACATCATGAGAAGCTTTCCAAATCCTGAGAAGCAGAGATAACAAACTCCTTCCACTGGCCTCCCTCCCCTTTCTTCTCCTGCCTACTTGCTTGTCTTCCTTTCACAAGGTGTCATTTTCCTTGCTTTCATTTCCAAGAGGCTGTATTCATCTTCAAAAGCATCCTCAGCACGTGAGCAACAATATACACACACACACAGACGTAACTACAGAAGTAGCTTGGACCAATCTGATTGCTCAACAGAATGGGCTTGTCCACAATTCAATAGGTTTAGTAAATCCCCTGCATTTCAGCCCATATATACCTGTTCAGAAATCTCAAAAAGAAACTCTAAACAAAGAAGTGTCCAGAGTTTTAAAGCCATGATCGAGGCTTAACACTGTACCAACTCTGAGCACAGTAGAAAGAAAAATGTACTTTCAAGGTGCTTTTCTTGGAGACATCATATATGAATTTTTCCATTTCATTCTGTTTAACTGCTAAATAAACATTTGTCCAAATACTAGTGTCCTTTCTCTCCTCTATTTTGTTGTAGTCTACCAGGGCTTCCTTGGTGGCTCAGATGGTAAAGAATCTGCCGGCAATGCAAGAGACCCGGGTTTGATCCCTGGGTTGGGAAGATCCCCTGGAGAAGGAAATGGCTATCCACTTCAGTATTTTTCCCTGGAGGATCTCATGGACAGAGGAGCCTGGCAGGCTACAGTCCATGGGGTCACAAAGAGTCAGACACGACTGAGTGACTCACACACACAGAGTATAAGGAAGTGATGGTCTTTATAAGGCTCCTTGTTTCTTAACTTACATTCAACTCCTCCAGCCCCACCTCCCTTACCCACCTCTTGCCTTTTCTGGGCACAGTACTGAATCCACTCCAGATAAACGTTGCAGTAGCTGGCTCGTGTGATTCCCTGGAGACATGGGACATAGTCATCATCAATGTTCATGTTGAACATCGCAAGGTCACGCTCAATGTAATGCCACTTTGCAAAGGGCTGCAGGGACTTCAGAAGTGATTCGTTTTTGATCCAGGAGGACAGTTTGGGGGATGTCACCATATAGTATATTATACTCTGCCGAGAGAAAGAAAGGTTTTGAGCCCAAAGTCTGAAAGACTTAAAATTTCATCTCCTAAAGTAAATCACTGTCACGAACAAATGACACGTGTAATCCCCACATGCAGTATCATTTGTATCTCCTGCTAGATTTAATGCACCCACTGGAGCCATTCTAAAATGTTCCCTCTTGGTCACTAGAGGGAAGAGGAAAGTGAGAAGAGCAGAATGCTAGCAGAATCTCAATGCTAGCTAGAACAGAATCTCAGTGGTGAGAAAGAATGGCAGTCAGAGAGGAAGCATCATCCTTTCTGAGAGATGCACAAAAAATCACTGTGGTTCCTCTGGGTTTCCCGAAGGCCAGGCTGGGCTGATGCTGCTAGAAGAAATCAGGGCAGGTCCTCGTCCAGGGCCTCAGACCAAGAGTGTGTCATGAGCTAAAGCAACATGGTTCTTATGGAAAGTACTTATGATGTACAATTGTTCACACACACACACACACACGCACACACAGACGTAATCCTGGGTACCCAGACAGTGGACATCTGAGATGTCTTCAAAAATAACCCCGAGTTTGCTCCTCCATCAGACACTCCACTTATGAGTCCAATTGGGGGAAAATGCCACCCTCGGGCTTTATGATTCTGAGCTACAGATTTACTGAAAGCCATCTTGTAGTTTTTGAATGAGTTCATCATTTAAGAAGGCTAACATCCAGCCTGGAGAAGTAAACACACAACAGAGAAAAACATAACCTAAGTCTGCCATGGGCATGTTGGGAATAGACGGGAGTATCTGTGGATGAGTCCTTTCTAGCTTCACTCCTGATCATCCCAGGAAAAGGCATGTGGCTGGTGTCACTGGGGCTAAGGCAGACCAGGGAACACAGTTAGCATCCTACCTGTGTAAGAGTGATGAGGAGGAGGAGGGGCAGCCTTCCATGCAAGGAGGCAGTGATTAGAGCTCCTATAAAATCAAACATTTCATCGATGGACTCCTCTGATTATCAAAGGCATTCTTACCAGGCGAGAAGACAGAAAGTAACACATGTGGGGTGGATGTGAACAGGGCTTAGGCAATGGGAATCTATGGAAGTGAGTGGGCAGAGGGGCCTTTTCTAGCCCCCCAGCTCTCCTCCTCTTCTTCTCTTTGGCTGGGACGTGAAATCTACACTGCTAAGGTTGGAGGTTGCCGAGGTGTGTGATTTCAGGTTACTGTAGCAGTCTGAACAGCTGAGTGGACAGACACACGTGGTCTCTGGATTCAGGCAAAACCACAGCAGATGCCTGACTCAGCTTCTCTCTGCTGTTAGGACTGAGGGCAGCCTGCTCATTGGGGAAGTTTCATCTGTGGCTCATGGTGTGTGGTCCTCCTTCCTTCTTTGGGGCATGATCTCTATTAGGCTCCATCATCCACCTGACCCCCAACTGAGGAAGCAAGAAACACGAAGTCTGCAGTGGAGTTCACATGTTTCCCTGACCTCTGCAACCCTGCTGGCCTTAGAAAACCCCTTCGATGGAAGGAAGGAGGGAGAGAAGGAGGGAAGGAGAAAAGAAACGAGGAAGAGGCCAGGGGAAGCGAAAGCAGACATGCAAAAGAAAGACGTGCTTAATCATGGTCATTTTTCATCACTGTTTTGAGGTTTAAAATGAGAAAATGCATCTGAAGCACTTAGCACCTGGCCTGGCATGTGGGATGTGTGCAAAAATCACAATCATCATCATATCTTTGGCATCTCTGACTTACCTACCCAGCCAGCTTGAGGCTCAGGCTGGGGAGCAGAGCCCAGGAGAGGTTTGGAGCAGGGGATCAGGAGGCAGGAGACAGCCAAGCCTCCCATGGTCACAAGAGTACACATCTGATATTTAAATACGTAAATCAAGAATTTGGAGGGTATCCTATTGCCCACCAGCTGGCAGGACCACTTAAAGGTGCTAAGCGTTCCATCCAAATTCGCAAGCCAAAGAGGAAATGTGACCAAGACCAAAGGCACGGCTTCTCAGCTGACAATTACGAAGGAAAGAAAGAAATCTGGTCTATCTAAACATCTGACACAAGCAAACATCTGGTCTAGTTTTCCCTCAATATGTACTAATCACGTGTACCAGACAGAAATAACAAACAAAAAATGGAAGGCGCAACACTAACCTTTCCTTCATTTCTAGGGATGAATGAAAATAACCCCTTCACCGATGAGGTCAGAGTAGTTAACGAGGGCTTTGAATCCCAGGGATTCAAACTCGTTTCTCTAGTTCTGGCAAAATCTTACAGAGTTGGCTTCTGAGTGGAACCCCAGCCCACTGCTGGGCTTTCCCACGTGGGAGGGGAGCCAGTATATCCTTTCACTGTGGGGAAACAGAACTACTTGAACTGGCTGCAAACCGTACTCCATCCCGCTTTATTTAGGCAGAGATGCTGTCAATGAACAATGTGAAATCCTTCAGAACCTGTCGAGATGAAACAGATCCCATAACAAGAAAAGCTAGGTCAGGATGGTGACATGAATTGATGGTGTACAACTTGATCCAACTTGAAAGCAAGGACTTCCTCTGAATTAGGGCTTCCTTGGTGGTTCAGATGGTAAAGAATCTGCCTACAATGCAGGAGACCCAGGTTCGATCCTTGGGTCAGGGAGATCCCATGGAGAAGTGAATGACTACCCACTCCAGTATTCTTGCTGGGAGAATTCCACGGACAGAGGCGACTGGCGGGCTGCAGTCCCTGGGGTCACAAAGAGTCGGTCACGACTGAGTGACTAACACTCACACACCTCTGAATTAATTTGCCATATCTGGTTCCTCCAGCAGGGACCCTCCTGGTTTCTGATTTTAATTGTAGATCAGCATATTCTCTCAGACAGCTCATCCCAGGAAGAGAACCTGGCAGGCAGGCCAACATGCCCTGGAGCTGGGCTTATGTTGGCCTTATCATCTGCAGGGCAGGTGATAAGTGCATCTCCTTTCTAAGAGTTGGGCAGAAACAACAGTGGCCAAGAAACCAGGCCCTCACAGAAACCTCATTTCTTGCTGGTTAAGAGGGTTTGAAACACTAATGAATGGAAGAGAGATGGAGGAGGCACCAGGGAAAACCTCCAGTCATCAGGAAGGAAATGCTTTCAAATATATTCATAGAGGCTGGGAGAACTGACCCAGTTTATTAAGAGATTAAAAAAAAATCCTTTTGTGTAAAGGAATTATTCCAAGTTTTTCTTCCTGTCTAATGAAAAATAATAAAAAAGAATGAAACCGAACCCTTGAAACTTGAACTAATTCAGGGCTACAGAGGCAACTGGCAATTTTGTTGGCAGAGGAGCCTAGGCCAAAGAAGAAAATATTCCATTTGTTTTTACCCTAAACTGCTGCTTTTTCTGTCTTAATAGCCACTCAGCACTTCTGAAATTTCTTTTTTTTTTTTTTTTTTGAAATTTCTTTTAACTAACTGTACCAGGGAGGTGAGTACCGTTTCTGAGCTGCCTGTCCCCAAAGGGCAGGAAGGCACCAAGGGTGATGTCTGGAGAAAGTCTCATGTGAACAGGCCTTCTTGGTGCTGATGTGAATTACCAGGAGGTACTGGTATGAGCTCCTCCAATCTCAAGGTCTCCTGAGCACTGACTGAGTTACAAAACATCTCTTCTGCTGAGCACAAACATCTGTAGTGGTCCCCATGATTCACTGCATATCAAATCACCTCAGTTCAATTCAGTTGCTCAGTCATGTCTGACTCTTTGCGACCCCATGGACTGCAGTATGCCAGGCTTCCTTGTCCTTCACGGTCTCCCAGAGCTTGCTCAAACTCATGTCCATCAAGTTGGTGATGCCATCCAATCATCTCATTCTCTGTCATCCTCTTCTCCTCCTGCCTTCCATCAGTCCCAGCATCAGGGTCTTTTCCAATGAGTCAGCTATTCGCATCAGGTGGCAAAAGCATTAGAGCTTCAGCTTCAGCATCAGTCTTTCCAATAAATGTTCAGGACTTATTTCCTTTAGGATTGACTGGTTTGATCTCCTTGCAGTCCAAGGGACTCTCAAGAGTCTTCTCCAGCACCATAGTTCAAAAACATCAATTCGCCAGTGCTTAGCTTCCTTTATGGTCCAACTCTCACAACCATACATGACTACTGGAAAAAACATAGCTTTGACTATACAGACCTTTGTCAGCAAAGGAATGTCTCTGCTTTTTAATATGCTGTCTAGGTTGGTCATAACTTTTCTTCCATGAAGCAGGTGACTTTAATTCCATTGCTGCAGTTACCATCTGCACTAACTTTGGAGCTCAAGAAAATAAAGTCTGTCACTTTCCATTGTTCCCGCATCTATTTGCCATGAAGTGATGGGACCAGATCTTAGTTTTTTGAATGCTGAGTTTTAAGCCAGCTTTTTCACTCTCCTCTCTCACTTTCATCAAGAGCCTCTTTAGTTCCTCTTTGCTTTCTGCCATAAATCACCTAGGGAACTTATTTTAAAACACAGGTATTCCCAGGCACACAGAACGGGAATTTCTGGTAGGACATGGTGATCTACAATCACCTGGCTAGCTGGGGGAGCCTGATACTACAGATCTGCCCCTGCCTGCTGTCCTGCTGGGTCATAAACCATGCCCTGTGCCCCTCTCCTGCCTGCCCAAAGCTCTCGTGTCGGCATCACTGCTGGCACATATAAAACAGAATCAAGGGACTGTCTCCACAAGCCCACTATTATCTAGCAGGTTCTGGGGCCCTCCCGCAGCCCTCTACCATTTGCACATTATCTTGGATTTGTTTTTCAGCTTGCAAAGTGTCATTTTAGAAAACATGCAGGGAATTGGGAGGCACATTTCCAGGAGTTAGGAAAGGAGGACTATGAAGGGGGAGACACATCAAAAGGCAGGTCCTACATGGAGCCCCCAGGCTTCTGGAAAAGCCAAGCGGGTGGGCCAGGATGGGGCACCTCAGCCCTTTGCTCTTGCTCACTCACAGAGGCCTGCGGGCCCAGTGACATGGGCCTGGTCTGTCTGGTCCATGGAGAGGCTGTTTATGGGGAGCGCCACGTTCACAGGGCTTCCCTGACAGCTCAGCGGTAAGGAATCTGCCTGCAATGCAGAGGACACAGAAGATGTAGGTTCCATCCCTGGGTGAAGCCCTGCAGGAAGGCATGGCAACCCACTCCAGTATTCTTGCCTGCAGAATCCCATGGACTGAGGAACCTGGTGGGCTACAGTCCACAGTGTCTCAAAGAGTCAGACATGACTGAAGCTACCATACATGCACATGCCAGGTTCACAGAGACAAGGCTTGGCCCTGAACTCCATCCTCACCACTAATGCCTGGGGCAGACCCCTCAGACCCCTGCCTACATGTGGATCTCATCCTTCCCAACTGGATAGCCAGGACTCTGGATTCCACACTACATGGAACCTTCTTTGTTCATTCAAAACCTGTGGGCACCTTCAGCGGTAAGTCATCACAGGAAGGCCTGAGAAACCACAGAGGGGGCAGCGGTGTATGTCTCCTGGGCTCAGGGAGTTACCAGAAGGGAAGGGGAAAGGGTTTCAGAGGAGGCGGGGTGTGAGTGCCAGCCTGGGCCCCAGGGCAGATTGTGAGAGGAGCTGGCACGCGAGCTCAGTTTGGGCTGGGCACTGTGAGCACAGGGGGAGCAGAGAGGAGGGGTGGGCTGCAGCCTGCAAGGGCTGGGGGAGGGTGCACAGGCAAAGAAAAGGGCGGGGTGCAGAGCCTAGTCAGACATCACAGCGGATGGCTCTGGGTGGCAGACAAACAGTCCTGCCCTATTCCCCCCGCCTCTTGTATGGATGGCAGCTCAGCGGTGAGCTGCTTCCTTCTGTGCTCATGAGGGGAGGTGAGCCCAAGGTCCTTCTCCTCTGCCATCTTGACTCTCCCCCTCCGTCTTGCCCTATTCTTGAGGCACTGTGTGGAGCGAGCAAATTAGCCGAGGTGTTGTGTTCAGGCTCTCTCGGCCCACGTTTTGTAAATAAGGACGATGTAACAGCAGAGCGCACTTGCAGCACTGCGCATGTGCGTCACGAGGTACTCGCTTGGGCCTGGGCTCCTGTGTGTGATACGCCTGTGTGGGCTTCACCATGAAAGCCCTGGCTGCTGCTGCGCCGGGGCTGCACCGGAGCGACATCATGGTTATTTTATGTGAGCTGATGTTATGGCTCCGTTACAGCTCTGTTACGGTTCTGCTGTGGCGACTGCTACGGCTGCCAAGTCAGCCAGGAGAGAGGCTGTGCTGTGGCCGCCGTGCCAGCCAGGAGAGAATAAACGTGTCTGCCGTTCCTAGGCTCCTCGCATCTTCTTCCCGCCTCTTAGCTCCAGCCTTGCCTACCCTGAGTTCAGCGAACAGTGTGAACAGCACGACAATCGGCGTCACGAACAGGATCAGTGATGCAGGCACCAAGGAGACACGTGGTCTCCGGGCTCATTAATCTGGCCGCTCTAGACTTGTAGCTGCCCCTCCGAGGAAGCTCCCAGACCCTCGCATGGTGGTAGTCAGCCCCTGGATCTAGCTCCCCCGCAATGACCACTTCTTGTTCCCACTTAGGAACTATACCAGATCCTCAAGGGACCCTCTCCTTCTGGAGGGAGGTGTCAAAGAGAGCTGGTTGCCATTTAACATCAGTTTTCTCCTTCCTCCAAGACACACAAGTTCTCTCTGGGTTCATGGCTTCCCAGTACACCTTTCCAGACCCCCTTGAAGCTGGCGTATGACAACATTCTGGCCAATGGGACACAGCAGCCGCATTCTGTGGCAGCTTTCAGGAACCTTCTTAAGGAATAGCTGGTGCACACCCTTGGCCTTCACTTCACTTTTCACTGAAGTGTGCTAAGTCACTTCAGTTGCATCCAATTCTTTCTGACCCCATGGATTGTAGCCCACCAGAATCCTCTGTCCATGGGGTTTTCCAGACAAGAACACTGGAGTGGGTTGCCCTTTCCTCCTCCAGGGGATCTTCCCAACCCAGGGATCAAACCTGTATCTTTTATGTCTCCTGCTTTGGCAGGTGGGTTCATTACCACTAGCACCACCTGGGAAGCCTGTCTTGACACTCAAAATGGTGGAGCTGGGAGCCGGAAGAAACCTGGGTCCCTGAGAACTTGGAGCAGAGCTTCATTTATGTGTGAGAGGAATACATGTATGTGAGTCACTGGGATTTCATGACCCACTACCAAGTCTAATGTCAACTGATAGACTGAGTTGCCCGAAGTTGACTCTGTATGAAAAACTTTTTGGACCTCAGATACAATGGCCAAGGGAACACATGGAATCATGACACAAAAGATTACAACTTCCTAATTCACTTCCCAAATCTTCCCCAATTTGTGTGAGGTTGGACATTTATTATTTTGCATGAGGTTTGGATGTAAAGTTTTACATCTGTCTAATATACACGAAGGTAGTGAGCATGAATCACTCAAGCTGTTTAAAATATTCTGCCACAGAACAGGGTCTCCCCAATGTCTCTTGGTGCAATCACCTTGGGGTGTGATCATTAAGAGTTCTTTGCCCTTCTGACTTTCATAGTCTGAATTTTATTTCCTGAACATTCAAGCAGCTGTTTTTGCTGTGGATGCTGAGGCTCCTCACAGGAGTTACTCCTAATTTCTAAACATCCTTCTTTGTTGACGGAAACTCCCAAAACTTCGGGCACCTGTGTAATCTTTTGATTTTGTATTTCCTTATTTCTGCTGGACCACTTGTCTCAGCCTCAGCTTGCAGGGAGTTTGGGGTCTCAGATGATGAGTTTCTTCATTCTGAATGGCATAAGATGTGGACCCTTTTAAAGACTATGTAGGGTTTGCACCATGCAAAGTAGCTCCTCAGAAGACAAGTCATCATAGACATCCTCAGACACAACTGCCTCTGCCTGTCCTAACCCTTTAGAAAACACTTTCATCCCGATTATCACTCTGCATCTTGGTCAAGTCTCACATTGTCCTCCAGGAGACATATTCCAAACCAGGACCTGTTCTGATGTTGAGTACAGGTTGGACAGATGCAGGTACCCAGCAACTGAAAAAAATGTGCTAGTCCCCACATGAGTGAAAAGAAAAGGCTGCCATAGCTAATCCTGATGGGATCATTTAGCTATTTTTGCAGTTTTATCAGGAGCTTAAAAAATTAATTCTGGTTCTAAAAAGTAGAAATTTGCAGAGCCTTTAAATTAATACTTATAATTCATGAAAGTTTAGGCTTGGTCATATTTCCAGGATGTTTCCATTTATCAGTACCATCATTACTAACGACTCATGCTGTGTTAAAAGTAAAGAGTTTCAGTTTAGGAAAGTGAAAATTCGGGAGATGGATGATGGTGAGAGCCACACAATAATGTGAATATACTTAGTGTCACTAAACTGTACAGTTAAATATGATTAAAATAGTGTGTTTTATATTATGTGACTTTTGTTGTTGTTATTCAGTTGATAAGTCATTTCCAACTCTTTTGCGACCCCATGGACGGAAGCCCACCAGGCCCCTCTGTCTATGGGATTTCCCAGGCAAGAATACTGGAGTGTGTTGCTATTCTCTTCTCCAGGGGCTCTTCCCGACCCAGGGACAGAACCCACGTCCCCTGCATTGGCAGGCAGATTCTTTACCACTGAGCCACCTGGGAAGCCATGATTTTAAAAAATAGTGAATAAAAAGATCTAGGTAAGAAAATAGACTGCCTATTAGTTTCCAGGCTTAGAACAGCAGTCCCCAATCTTTTAGGCACCAGGGACCAGTTTCGTGAAAGATAATTTTTCCATGGGCTGGGAGTAGGAGGCATGGGCTTTGGGTTGATTCAAGTGCATTACATTTACTGTGCACTTTATTTTTAATCTAATCCCACCACTGATCTGACAGGAGGCACTGGTCCACAGCCTGGAGGTAGGGCACAAAACCTCAGGCCAATCCAAACCTCTGAGGCTTTTTCACAAAACCAGCAGTTCTGAAACTGAACTAAGCCTCTGCTTCAGACGCTCAGGAGAAGCTTCTTAAACTCTTTACAAAGCTCTCCAGGAGTCTTTTGAGCCAGCCCAGCATTACTACTCAGACACACGTCTAGGGACCTGGAGCAATACCTTGATATAGTATCTGATAAGGATCCTTCGGAGATCAAACACCTGCAGCATGGTGGCTGCATTGTTGTCCATGATGCTGTAGCCCTCCAGAATGTACTGGGTCCGTGTGATTTCCCAGGTGAGCCAGCGGAGGTTAAAGGCGGCGTTGCAGGACAGGAGGTGGGGCAGGTGACCCGGTTTGCAGCAGCAGCAGCCCCTGTCGTCCTCATCACCCTCCGTGATGGCTTCCACCTCCCTCTGCTGACAGTAGGTTCCTGGCAGTAACAGACATGACGGAAGTTTACAAGAAGTCATGGGATAATCCTTGTTTAGAATGGATTTCCCCCTTGCCCTTACTAAGGGGAAGATGCTAAAGACAGTCTGGAAATCAGAAAATTTGTATAGGTCTCAGTTCAAGCAAGTACCTCCAAATAAGTCACCAATCTTACAATCATTAACTCATTTATTCATTCATATTCATTTTGACTCTCATCTCTCCCTGTGTTTTTTTTTTTTTTTTTGTCTATGTGTGTGTATGTGTGTCTTAGAACAGACACATTCTCATGGCAGCCATGGACATTAATGCTGAAATGCAGGATGGTTATAGCCTTCAGTTTCCCTTTCCAGAAACCTGCAGGTCAAGGCTGAGCCAAGAGGAGGCTAAAAATGTGGCAGGTGGACAAGTCTGAGAGCAACCAGGTGTATGTTGAAGTGTTATGAGGAAGGGTGTCCTGGAAGATCTTCTTGGCCCAAGTGCAAGGGCATAGTCACCTCACTTCATACGACTAGAAGCAGGACGTCTGACTCCTTTACCAAGTATTTTGAAACTTAATGCAAACATGAAACTGTCCCCACACCCATTTCCACACCGTTCACTTTTCCCGGGATCTTATCTCATTATTCACAATGCCTGGTACTTGGTAGGATAACAAAGTGATCGGTGGAATGATTGAAGGAAAGGTTGGATGAACAAATGAAAGAATTCTTATCTAGATCACTATATAACAGGCATGCATGCATGCCTGCTAAGTCGCTTCAGCTGTATCTGACTCTTTGTGACCCTATGGACTGTAGCCCACTAGGCTCCAGGCAAGAATACTGGAATGGGTTGCCATGCCCTTCTCCAGGGAACCTCCTGACCCCCGCATCTCTTATGTCTCCTGCATTGGCAGGTGGGTTCTTTACTACTAGAGCCATACAGGCAACAGATACCTTATTGAGAAAATCCACAGGGCATGCAATAGCTTCTGTTACATTTCAGGAGGAAGACAAAGACAGGTGATGTTTAAACTAAGTCTCTCTATAGTACCCATGAGTGAGATGGTCATAATAGATCAGAGATGAAAAACTGCAACCTTCAAATAAAAATGTACACACAGAACTGTCATGATAACAGCCTATGAACTAGAAATCAAGGAAGAAGAGAACAAGCAGGTTGTTGTAACATAAAGTGAAACAGTGAAGGGCTGATCCCGGGTCTTAGGATTCCATTTGTCTTTCTCTAAGACCTCACCCCTTTGGGTCTGAGCTGAAAAGCACTCCCTATTAAACATTTCAGGGATCTCTGTGCTCATTCCGTAATATGAAACTTCTCTTCCTGCTGGGCAAGATGCATAGAAACAACACAGGTGAACCACAATCAGTGAGTAATTCAGACCACATGTTGGGGGCACCCAGAGTGAATAATGACCTCCAAGTCCTAACTGAGCTGCCCACTGGAACCCCAGGCCTGGGGGCACTGGAGTCCAGGGCAGTCTTCCCCTCTCAGTGGCACATCAACAACACTGGTTAATTATATGATTTTGGGAGAAATGCTCTTTCAATGAAAGAAGTAAGACAATTCATAGAAATAGACCTTACAAAGGAGAAGCATAAAAGGGGGAAATTCACCTCAAATAGATTAGCAAAACTGTGTAAATGACATGCCCTGCGGGTTTTTTCCAGTTTCTGCTTCCTTCCTTCCTTCTCCATCCAGGTTAGGCATTTATCATGTTGGGCTGAGGTCAGCGCTGTTTGTCTGTTTTACATCAGACTGGAAGGGGGGGTGTGCGTGTATTCATGAGTACATGAAGACAATGCATAACTCGGATTTCTACTATCTGAAGAAAATAACTTAGCAGCATCCTTTGTGAGAAGCAAGAACTCATATCTACACTGATGAGAGGACCGGCTGAGGAAGGGGTTTTCTGTGAAGGACTGCTAAGCAGTCATAACTGCCCACAGCTTTTAACAAACACCCAGGTCAGGTAGGGCTTCAGCTCTACCATCTCCCACTTCCTCTTCCTCCTCCATTCAGCAGCTCTTCTTGTCTGTTCACTTGATGCCAGCCCCTGTATGCCAGTTATTGTACTGTACTACTGTACTTTTCAAGGTGCTGTCCTGTAAGATTAAAAATGTTTTATTTCTTGTGTTTGTTTTTAATGCATTATTTGTGTGAAAAGTATTATAGACCTATTACAGTACAGTACTATATAGCCAATTGTGTCAGTTGGGTACCTAGGCTAACTTTATTGGACTTAGGAACAAATTGAACTTATGAACATGCTCTTGGAATGGAATTTGTTTGTATGTAAGGGACTTACTGTAGTCAGGATCACACTGTAAAAGAATACGAGAATGATGAAACCCAATCGTTTCTGCAAAGGCACTAATTTTGCTGTTCACATGCAAATCAGGCCCATGTTCTTCTCAGAGAATCTCCCTGGGTTTAGAGCATGTTTCCTTCAGAGGGAAGGCTGGAGGTCAGTTACTCCCACACTTGACCTTTTCCAGATGACTGTCTCTGGAGTTTCCACTGAATCAAGCTCTTGGCATCTTTTATGTGGCTGTGTTCTCATAGTCTAAGTCAGTGGGACATGGAAGCATTCAATAAGTATTTTAAAAATGAATTTTCAGAGTATCTTGGAACCTTTTCATTCTGATAAATGATTGTGCCTCATGAAAGCTGTGAAAATTGAGTCTTTGAGCTGAAAATGTGTCCAGTAGATCCCAGATATCTTGCACACAGGATACACATGAATTTCCCGAGTGCAGCCAAAATGCAGGGCAGCCATTAAGGCTGCAGCTATGCCAGACGGGCCTCTCCTGACTATCTAACCATTTCCTCCTCCCTTTCCTCATTTCCAAAGGTGCAAACACTGCCTCCCTTTAAGCACCACTGGTTATCTTTACCAGGGACAGGTCAGTCCTGGCTTATTTATTCATACTTAATTCCAAAAAGATATGAAGGCAGTCTTAAAAAGCATACACAGTACAAAAGCAAATGATGAAATTTTAACTGAAGATGAGGACAGGAAAAACATAACAGAGCCAAAAGAATGTCAAGAAACCTTCACTTCCTTCTATGATGTCCTATAAATTTACTAAAGGAGGACCACTGATTTCACTCAGGCTTTCTATAGAAAGATAATGAGGAGTTCCTCATGTCCTTAAGACAAAAGGAAAATAATTGCTTGGGAGGATCACAGCTATTTCTGTTGAAGACAGCAGAGAGATGACATCCCCAGACCATCACAGAGAGAACACTGTACAATATGGTGTCCACTGTCCCTATCAGCATTGCACAAGTACAATCATGAGGTTCCACAGCTGTTCTAATAGGATTAAAGTACAAAAGAAAAATGTCTATAGGTGGCCAAAATAATTCAGTTTTAGGCATGGGGCTCTTCAGAGGTCTGGTGTCACTCAAGGGGAGACTCTGGAGATGCAGGAGGACCTCACACCTTTCAGGAACTCCCTGATATGGGCCATGTCTCTCCACTTAGTTTTTAATTAATTTTTTGGTGCAGTCAAAAAAACTGGGATCTTAGTTCCCAGATGAGGGATGAAACCTGTGTCCCCTGCAACAAAAGTGCAGCATATTAACCACTGGACCACCAGGAAGCTAGGCTTTCCACCTAGTTCTGACAATGACTGTGTATTGAGTGGCAGTGAATTTTAACACACTCTCCCTGACAAGCACAGGAGTGTGGCTATCCTGTGGGGCTGGTTAGCATAGGCATGCTTGCTTTAATGGTAGAGGTAGAGGTGACATTCTCTGGGGAAAACTGGGAAGCCAAAGGAGAAGGCCTGTGAATATGAGAAAGGAAGGGCGGGCAAATAAGAGTGGAAGAGGTGCCCTCCTGGCTGGGAAGTGGGGCTAAGATCCCTGGAGGGGAGAGGGGAGGCGCAGGGCAGGCCGGCTGGAGTGGGAAGTTGACGCCTATGGAGACATTCAAACTTCATTCTGTAGGTAACAGATAGGTAACAGGTATTTTTAAGTCCCAAGGAACAGAGAGAATGTTGCACTTAAGAAACATTCCCCTGCGGCCTTGGGGGAGTATAGAGGAGAGATTGGTCATGGGGCAGTCAACCACCCACAGTCCCACTTCAAGTGAAGAGTGATGGGACTGAAACTAGGGTACAGGCTGTTTATGGAGAAATTGGAGGAAATGATGGAGGCACTGAGCCATTATGTGAAGGGGACTTCAAAGGATGCATTAAAATGGATTCCCTGCAGCAGTAAGTCTGCACTGGAAGAATGTCAGCTTGTTTACAGCCTTCCAGCAATAATAGGCACATGAAAGCCCTAATGCACAACATGTTTAAGATCGGGCTTCCTGGCCCTCCAAGTTCCTCTTTATCTGATGTGAGTTGTCCCAGGGACTGGCTAATTGGATTCCACAGAAAACCCCAAATATCATCAACATTATTATGCTTAGTGTTACCCACTAATTGTTGTTGTTCCATCACTAAGTTGTGTCCGACTCTTTGTGAACCCATGGGCTTCAGCACGCCAGGCTTCCCTGTCCTCCACTATCTCCCAGAATTTGCTCAAGTTCATGTCCATTGAGTCAGCGATACTGTCTAACCACCTCATCCACCAATAATGATTTACAATAACTTTACTAGATGTTTATTTGAGCTAAGTTTTGAAATGGTCACAGCCTCCTTCATCAGCCTGACATGCCAGGCATTCGGGGATGGTGTTTCTATATGCCAAGCAGTGAGGTCTCCTGAAGGGGCTGCCAGAGAGAAGTTTAGATTATCCTTAAACTACCCTGCTTGTGGAGTGGAGGGTAATTAGGCATAGAAGGAGAAGAAGGCGTCAGAGGATGAGATGGCTGGATAGCATCACCGATGCAATGAACATGAACTTGGGTCAACTCTGAGAAATAGTGAGGGACAGGGAGGCCTGGCATGCCATGGGTGTCCATGGGGTCAGAAAGAGTCGGACACACCTGGGCTATTGAACAAAAACAATGTTTTCAAGTTTCAGGTGTAATGTACAGTTTGG